GAATATTCTCAATGCAACCCCCTTCCCTCTGCCCTGCCTCTGTTTTTTCTCTGCCTGATATCAAACACAAGGCCCTTGTTCTTGCTAGTGTTATACCCCAGCCCTTTTATTCCAGTCTTTAAGATAAATAATGCTAGGACCAGAGAGATGGCTCAGCAGGTGAGAGCACTTGCTGCTCTTCCAAAGGACATGGATTTGGTTCTTAGCACCTATCCACCAACTTGGCAACACTCCAGTACTAAGGAATCTGATGCCCTCTTTGGCCTCTTCAGGCATTGCATGTATATGGTACACATACGGATAGGCAGACGCTATAATGCATAAAAATATATAAGCAATGCTTCCTTGGCTATGAGTATTTCAGTTTAAAACACAAAAGTGAAGTTAAAAGTTATGGGCTAGAGAGACAGATCAGTGGTTAAGAGTGCTTGCTGCTCTTCCAGAGGACCTGAGTACAAATACCCACTTTGGATGGCTCACAACTTCTTGTAACTCTAGCTCCAGGGGATCTAACACCCTCTCCTAGCTCCATAGCACCCACATACTGGGGGAATGCACAAAACAAATAACCTTTTTTTTAAAAGTAAACCTTTTTTTTAAAAAGAAAGTTATAGGGGCTGGAGAGATGGCTCAGCAGTTAAGAGCATTGCCTGCTCTTCCAAAGGTCCTGAGTTCAATTCCCGACAACCACATGGTGGCTCACAGCCATCTGTAATGAGGTCTGGTGCTCTCTTCTGGCCTGCAGGCATACACACAGACAGAATATTGTATACATAATAAATAAATAAATAAATAAATAAATAAATAAATAAATAAATATTTAAAAAAAGAAAGCTATAATTTTCTCCCCATCCCCCATCAATTTCATAAACATGGAAGGTGGGCTATATCCAACCATCATTTTAATGAGCATTTCCCAAACCCAGAGCCCGGAGTAACCCAGAACAGAATTATGCACTCAGCAGTGTAATTGTCACCTGTCACTAGAGGCTCTGATAGCATTTATGTCTCAAGGACCTTCTCTAAACTCAATACAAAGTAACAATTATTCTTCTGTACAATTTTTGTCTTTTTTTTTCCTGTATTTTGTTTTGTTTTGTCTCAGTAGCCCATGGTCCTCACACTTCTTCCACGTGCTGAGATTACGGACAGAGACCTCCATCCATGCCCAGCTTTTTTGCCCCCATAGCTTCTTATTCTTTGTTGGTTTTGTGGTTTTTGGGATTTTGTTTTGTTTTGTTTTTGCTTTTGCTTTGTTTTCTTGAGAAAGGGTTTCTCTGTGCCGTTCTGGCAATCCTGGAACTTGCTCTGTAGATTAGACTGGTCAGAATTTACAGAGATCTGCCTGCCTCTGCCTCCTGAGTGCTAGGATTAAAGATGTGAGCCACCACCTCCTGGGCTTCTTTACTTTTTAATTATAATTGCTACATATATGTGTGTGTATAAGTTTGTAAATACAATCTGCTAAGATCATTTAGTGTAATCACAAATGGCTCTTACAATCCATCTTTAGTGTGGCTTTTAAGTTATTCATTTATTTTGATATACAGTCTCACACCATAGCTTTGGCTGGCCTAGAACTCCCAGGGATCATCTAGTTTAACTTCTTGTCTGCTGGGAGTACAATCATTCATTACCATGGCCAGTAGATGATGTATTAAGATTAATACCTTTAATCCCAGCACTCAGGAGACAGAGGCAGGAGGATCTTTGTGAGTTCGAGGCCAGCCTGGTCTACAGAATGAGTTCCAGGACCACCAGGACTACACAGAGAAACTTGTCTTGAAAAAACAAACAAACAAACAAAAATTTTATGGTGGAATGCAAAGGATCGGGGAATAATTTGTCTTAGAAATGAAATGCTGTTGCTTCCCTGCTTCTGTCCCTGCTGGCGAGCCAACTGTTCACAGGTTAAACCCAATCCAAGCGTTGAAACCAGACATCTGAAGAAAGCTCCATATCTAACTTCATCTCCATCTACATTTTCTGCTCCAGTTGCAAACTTTACATTCTTATTTATTTGTTACCTGTGTGTGTGTGTGTGTGTGTGTGTGTGTGTGTGTGAGAGAGAGAGAGAGAGAGAGAGAGAGAGAGAGAGAGAGAGAGAGAGAGAGAGATGCACATATGTAGGTGTATCTGTACCATGGTTTCTACGTGAAAGCCAGGGGACAACACTGTGAAGTCAGTTCTTTGTCTGCCTTTACATGGGTTCCAGGAATTGAACTCAAGTCACCAGGTTTGCAAGGCAAGTGTCTTCCCCCATGAGGCAGTATGCTGGCCCCTAAATGAGCTTGTAATCCCAGAACATGGGAGGTAGAGGAAGGATGATTGCCATAAATTCAAGGCCAGCTTGGTCTACACAAACCAATCAAAGTTTACACAGCCAGATTCTGCCAACCTCCACCCCCAACCAATGAACTAAAACAAAACCACAAACAAACAACTACTAGAGTACAGTACAATCAACACTGTACTCATCTTTGTTGGATTAATCTCTCTCTCAAAAACCCTGTGCTGAGGGCAAGTCTGTTGATAATCTGGGCTTTATAGCGAGAGCCTGTCCCCAAAACAAACAAAAAACTATGCCACGCTGCCCCAAGACTACAGCAAAGATTCACTGTAACTATTACGACAAGATCCAAAGCGTACATGCATGGGAAACAAACATGCAATCTAAACTTGCTTCTGCCTCAACAATTCATTTAAAAAGAAAGAAAGAAAGAAAGAAAGAAAGAAAGAAAGAAAGAAAGAAAGACAGACAGACAGACATATCCTGACTCCTGAAACTAAAGGTACACACCTTTAGTCCCAGCAGTGGGGAAGCAGAGGCAGGAGGATCTCTTATGATTTTGAGGCCAGCCTGGTTGGCCAGCCTATAGAGCTAGTTCCAGGTCAGCTAGGGCTGTCACACAGAGAAACCTCGTCTCAGAAAATAAAATAAAACAACAGCAGAAAAAACACACCGCCTAATATCTGTCCTCTGACTCTCCCAAGTTCCTGGGTCAATACTGGCAGAATTCTCTAGGCTTGACCCCAAAGCCCATTTTTATTATTTGTATAACTATTTCCTATTCCATTCCTCATCTCTCCAAATTCAATCAAGGGTTGTTGTCTGCTTCCTTCCATTTTCCCTATTATAAAGTTCTAGGAGTCATTTGGTTCAAATTATATAGAAGCTACTGTAAAATGGGATCCTCCTCAACCCAAAGAATAACTTCCTCAGAAAAACCTGAAACAAGTCCCTTAAAAACCATTGAAAAGGCTGGGCGGTGGTGGCTCACGCCTTTAATCCCAGCACTTGGGAGGCAGAGGCAGGTGGATCTCTGTGAGTTCAAGGCCAGCCTGGTCTACAGGAGCTAGTTCCAGGACAGGCTCCGAAGCTACAGAGAAACCCTGTCTTGGAAAAAAAAAATTTAAAAAGACAATGAAAAAGACATCAAAACAAACTTGCTTGGTGCTGGAGAGGTAGCTCAACCCTTCAGAGCAAGGGCTGCTCTTCCACAGGACCAGGGTTCAATTCCCAGCACCCACCTGACAGATCACTTTAGTTCTGGGGGATTTGATGCCCTCTCCTAACCTCTGCAGGCACTGCACACATGGGTGCACAAATACACAAACAGGCAAAACACCCATATACATAAGTTTTTAAACTTAGGGAAAAAATGACCAGATTTCATCCTTCCCATCCCTGATTCCCAAGACCATCCCGAAAATCAAATGGGATTCGCAGGTTTGAAATCTCAAGAGCCAGGCTACACCCTTCCTGAGGGTAGTGACTGGGTGTTAAGAGTAAGCCATGCATCCCTAAGGCCTGGCACAGCAGCTGGCATAGGTGGACCCTAGTAAACACTCGATGAGTGAGCAAACACGGGCTGTAAGTCAGGTAACAAAAGCAAACAAAATGGTCCCAGTGCATATCAGCATTACAGCTGAGTACAAGAAGGTACAAAAAGGGTTACAGCTTAGACAGACTCTGGAGATAAGGGACTAGAGCAGCTTCATACCTAGGACCCAGCTTTCCCGCAGCTCCCTTCTTCAAAAGTTTCTAAAATCTCGGCTGCAAATGATCTTTCCAGTCAATGACAAAACAATACCCTTCACATTCTGCCAACAAATGGAACAGAAAAGTCCCTGAATATCAGTGAGGAAGAGAAAGCACAAAAGGGCAGGAAAAAGAAGCAAAGTTGAGAAGGGAAACGAAAGTACTGGAAAGCCAGAGACTTAAATGGACTAGAGGAAAAGGTTGCGAAGCCAGCAGAGTCGTGTGGGTGACAACAGAGTCAAACACTATCCTTTATTGAGATCGATCAGCCAGACCCTGTACTTAACTGTGCATGCACTGACCCATTTAACGCTCCACCACCCCAATATAAAAACTTATCACCTCCGTTTTACGGATGACGAAACTAAAGCTAGGAAGTTGACACTTGCTCCAGCAAACTGATAAGAAAGGGAAGTGCAGTGACCAGACCTCGGGTCTGACCCCGGGGTCATCCCATTCTTTAACCCTCACTGCCCATTCCGCCTCCGAGGCCACAGTCCTTATTAACCGGGAGGCAACCGCTTATGCATTTAACCAGAACTTACTGAACTCCTAGTGGGTGCCCAAGCCAGCTGCTTGGCGCTGGTGGGAGAACGGAAGGGTTTCTGCTGAGGGTCGGAGGGACAGAACAGAACGAAACGTCAATCTCCAGGCTGAGGAGCCTGGAGCCCGCCGCGAGAGGGATGCAGGGTGGGGCAGGAGGGGAGGAGCAAGGGGAGCTGGGGCGCAGCCGCGGCCCCGGGCGGTGTGCGAACGCCGCGACGCCCGGTGCCCGGCACGGACGCGGGCTGTGACAGACGTGCCGCGCGCGGGGGCTGCCAGAGGGACGGCGACGCGACTGTGGAGCCCCGACGGCTGAGACAGGGAGGGGCGGCTCTGCCAGGAGGAGGAACGGCGCGGGGCCCGGGTCGGGGACGACGGCGGCATCGGGGACCTGCCAGCGCGCTCCCGGACTCACCTCCCGCGGCAGCCCCTCAGGACTCGTCAACCCCGCCAGCCCGGTGGAGGCGGGATGCACTCCGGGCCGCAGGGGCTGCCGGGAGCCTGTTGCCTGGGCAACGGGTTGGGCCTCCGAGAGCAGCTGCGACTCCGAGGGGGAGAGCTAGAGTGACAGAGCCACAAGTGTCGGCCGACCCGTGGAGCGGAAGTGACGTCACTTCCTCCGTCCGAGGGCGGGGCCTCGGGTCCCTTGTTGATATCTACCTGTGGACCGCATGGAAGGTGCGTGCGAGGGCTGTGCTTCCCCTAGTGTGGTGAGGCTGCAGGTCTGGGGGAAGGTCGGGAGCACGCCGTGTGACATGCAGGGCACGCAGGAATCTCGCGGGCTGTCCGGAGCCTATTCTTTCCCATGTGAGATCTGAGTGTGGCGATGTACGTGAAGTATTTGTCAGAGGTGTGACGCTCAGAGCATTCCGGAGCACATTGGCGCCACCATGACTGCCCCTCCAGAAACTTGCTTGAACTCCGGCAGTCAGGAACACCGGCCTTGGAGCTTGCAGCTTGTAATAAAGGCTGTCTCTATGTGCCGATTGGTGCGTATGGCAGTGGTCTCATGGAGTAACTTCAGTACCGCCCTGGCCTGTGACCGATCACTAATAGCTCCCTACTTGGCTGTGAGTATCTAGACCTCGGAGCTGTGCTTTGAGTTCCTAAGTGGGGCCGGCAAACTGCTTCCGATGTGATCCTCACTCTCAGGAACCACCACCTAGGGATAAATACAGGTAGTAAGAGCAGTTTCTCCATATAACATGTTTGATTCAGCATATACTATGTGCAAGATATGGGAGGAAACGAGACTGAACTAGTTTGGTTGAACTCAGTCCAGCGGGGAGTATAGACATTAAGCGGATAACTAGATTCTCTGGTGAATGTGATGACAGCCAAGGTATAGGTGACAAATGTCTACTGCGGTGATTCCTAATGTAACCGAGGTATTTGATGGAACTCTTCAAATGTGCCTCCCGTTGCTGTGGTAAAGTACCCCGACTGGAAAGCTCTTTGGAACGAAAGGGATTATTTTATTTGGTTTACCCTAACAGGACACAGTCCATCACTGAGGGAAATGGGTAGGAACCCAAGCAGGGACAGTGAGGGAAGGCTGCTCACTGGCTTGTTCTCCAGCTCCCTCCCAGGCTCACGCACTGCCAGCTAGCTTACTTTGTCTCTATAAGATTTCATTTGTTATTTTATTTGTATGAGTGTTTGCCTGCATTTATCTAAGTGCACTGTATGTGTGCAGTGTCCACAGAGGCCAGAGAGGATATAATATCCCCTGGAATTGGACTTACAGCCGGTTGTGAGACACTATGTGAGTGCTGGGTCCTCCAGAAGAGCAGGAAGTGCTCTTAACTTCTGAGCCATCCCCAGGCCCTCAGATAGTCTTCTTATACAGCCCAGAACCACTTCGCGAGGGTGGCACCAAGAGCTGGGCCTTTTCTGTCATTCATCACACAGACATATCCCCACAAACAGTTCTTCTTCAGTGTGGCTCTCCCCAGGTATATCAGATTAACAGCGAAACTGACCAGGGCAATACCTTTCTTTCTTTATTTCATTTTTGCATTTATCTATTGCAAATATATTTATTGCAATTTACAGATACGTTAATAATAAGTCAATAACAAATAGATTTTAGCTATAATTCTTTTGCATCAGAAAAAAATGGGTCTTGCCGGGCGGTGGTGGCACACGCCTTTAATCCCAGCACTCGGGAGGCAGAGGCAGGCAGATCTCTGTGAGTTCGAGGCCAGCCTGGTCTACAAGAACTGGTTCCAGGATAGGAACCAAAAGCTACAGAGAAACCCTGTCTCGAAAAACTAAAAAAAAAAAAAAAAGAAAAAGAAAGAAAAAAATGGGTCTCAAAATATTCTAGTCCCCTGATGAAGGTGAGGTTAAATTATAGAAAAATAAAATTTGAAGTGGGAGAGGTAGCTTAGCAGTTAAGAACACTTCCTGCCTTTCTAGAGTCTTGGAGTTTGGTCCCCAGCATCCACATTAGGCATATCACAAACACCTACACTGCTGACTCCAGGAGATAAGTCACCCTCTGGCCTTGGCAGACACTCCCACAGAAGCACACAAACGAATCTTTTTTTTAAAAAATATTTATTTATTTATTATGTACACGATATTCTGTCTGTGTGTGTATGCTTGCAGGCCAGAAGAGGGCACCAGACCCCATTACAGGTGGTTGTGAGCCACCATGTGGTTGCTGGGAATTGAACTCAGGACCTTTGGAAGAGCAGGCAATGCTCTTAACCTCTGAACCATCTCTCCAGCCCACAAACGAATCTTTAAAATCTGATAGTTTGATGTCCAGATACAAATAGAAGTTACCACATTTCATGTCTCAAAAGTGGACATTTTACCTGTGTGCACATTGACACTTAGAGCACCATTACAAGACTTTAGCTTATGGAATATTCCACTACAAACCCTAAGGATTTTCTTTCATGGGAGGGGGCTTTAACATTTAAGATTAAAGTTAAAAAATGACAAGAATTCTGTTGCTCTCCTCTGGTCCAATTTTAAATAGTTCCTTCTGTCCGCATCACCATCTGGTCCTTATACAGGAAAATTTAAATTTTCATTTATTTATTCATTTTAAGTAACTTACAAAGTAGCAGGTTTCTTTATGGCATTTCATACTTAATTTTGGTTGGCCCTCTTTTGATTCTGTCCCCCATCTCTAATGATACCCTCTTACCCAGCATTCCCTTACACTTTCTTATCTCATGGGGGAGTATTTTTAACCAATTTTTACTTGTTTTGGCAATGAGGGTAGGATATAAGATATGGACATTATGTCACTGTTCTGCCCCAAGCATATTCATTGCCCGCTCTTCGCTGTGCTTAGCTTGTCCTGTTTGGCATGTGCCGCTCTGGTTGTGTGAGCTCCTCCGTATTTACCTCTTTTTCTCCATTTTAGCCTGGTAATGCTGGTTTGTCCTGTCTGTTATACTCACCAAGTTTATGGTCATATTAGGGCCCATGCTGACTCCCTCTCCCTGGCTTCACACCTCATTTTCATAAATTCACACCTCATGTTCATGCTAACACAAGACAGAGTCCTGCTACATAGCCCACATTAGCCTCTTTTTAACTCACAGTGGTTGTCTGGCCTTGGACTCTTAGTAATCCTGTTGCCTCACTCTCTGGAGCACATAACACCTGGCTTCCTGTTCCAGTTTTTGCATAGTACTTATGATCTGAACTGGCTAAGATCATTTCCTTGGGTGTTGTTTGACTCTCTTTTGGAAGGTAAGTGCCATGGGAAAGGCCCTAGTCTCATTCAGTCACTTCGTTCTTCATACTTGACATATTGAAGGTAGCCTACTGATATTTGTTAGTTGTTTAAGTAAAGAATGAATGAAAAAAATCAGTATATTTAAAAGACAAGCTATGGGCTAGGTATGGTTGTACAGGCTGCAATCCAAGCTACTAGGGAGGCTGAGGCAGGAAGATGGAAAGTTCAAAGTCTGTCTGAGCTATAAAATAACTTCTGCCTGCCTGGGCAACTTGGTGATAGCGTCTCATATAGTAAAATGGGCTGGGACTATAGCCCTAGTTCAGTCCCAATACTATTAAAACAAAGAGCAGGGCCCTGAATAATACTGAGTTAACTAGGTGAGTGAAGACACACAAGAATTAGTGTGACCCAGGTTGGAATGGTACAGAGCCAGCATTGAGGCACAAAAGAGTAAATTAAAGACCGTATTGGAGAAAGGATGGGCAGACTTGGGTACTAGTAGTAGGCCTTGTGATACAGGTTGTTATATATCAGGCCCTCACAGCATATATTACTAACATACTTTTATTTATTTATTTATTTATTTAGAGACAGGGTCTCACTATATATCCCTGGCCAGCCTGGAACTCAGTACATAGACCAGTCTGCCTCAAACTCGTCTATCCACTTCTAACAGCCCTATGGAGTAGATGCTGTTTTATCACCACTTTGCAGATGAGAACATTGAGGCTCAAAGAGATTGACAAATATGTCTATACTCAGAGCTGGCAGAGCTAGGATTCATGCCCAGGAAGCATGGTCTTCAAAGCGTAGCCTGCAGAGCAGGCAGCTGTTGTGTGTCCTGGATTCCGCTCAACTGTGTGATGACTATTTAGGGTTCTAAGCTGAGAAGGCAGCGCAAACTCTGCTCTTGGTCTTGCTTTCCTCAGGCTGAGGATCGGTGAGTCTTAGAAGGGCAGCACTCTAGGAAGGAGCTGCCCCGGAGAGAGCTGCCCGTGCTTAGGAGTTCTGCCTGGTGATGGAGGGCTGGGGATGGGGATTGAGACAAACGTTGAAGGGGCGATGCAGGCAGAAGTGTCAGCTTCTTCCCAAGTCGTAGGCGGAGCAGCAGCAGCCTGGCCAGATCACCCCTGCATGTCCAGTGTCCACTTGCTTGGTGTGGTGTGATGAGCTTTCAGGAGTCAGAGGCTCCGTTTAAGGATTCGGGGTGCCTGGAAGAAGATAGTGGGGGCACAGTCAAGACTAGATTATCATACGAGAGATAATGGAAAAAGCCACAGCTTTATGTAGACAAGGTGCTGTGCTAAGTGTTGTGGCACACGCCTTTAATCCCAGCTCAGGAGAGACAAAGGCAGGAGGATCTCTTTGAGTTCAAGGCCAGCTGGAGCTACATTTGAGACCCTGTCTTGAAAGGAAAAGTAGACAAGTGTTTATGGAGCCATGAGCTGTGAACAACCTCTTAGATTCTGGGACATTGGTTTATCCAGTTTGTGTGACATTTCAGAGCATTTTACTATGAATGGCTGTGATTATGTGTTTCTTAATAGTCATGTTTCTTTTGGTCCCTCTCAGCAAAGACTCCTGGAATTGTAACACCCAGGAAACCTGTCTTATCTGTCAGTGCAAGGAAAATTAAGGACAATGCAGCTGATTGGCATAACTTAATCCTGAAGTGGGAAAGCCTTAATGACGCCGGTTTTACAACCGCAAGCAATATTGCCAACTTGAAAGTCAGCTTATTGTAAGTACATGTGGAGTTCCCATGCTCTGTATTGTCACATTTAACCATTGGGCCTAAGAATCAAGGGAGTGAGGATTTATTGGTGTAAATAAAGTAAAACAAAATATTGAACCAAAAGAATGGCAAAATGATACATGCAAATATGAACCATACATAAACATTTAAATGCAGATGTGTGCTAGGTGTTGTGGTCCACATTGGTAGGATATGCTGAAAAGGCAGAGACAGGAGGATTACACATTTGATACCTTGGGCTAGGGATGTGGCTCAGTGAGTCTAGGTGCTTACCACAAGCCTGAGTGCAGTCCCCACAACCCACATGGTAGAAAGAGAGAACCAAACTATGCAAGTTATCCTTGCCCATCACACCATGGCATAAGTGGGCCCATTTTTATATACACACAAATAAATGTAAAAGTAAATATAAAATTATACTACATATTGTTTACATCTGTTTATAAAGTTAGGAAAAGATTGGGAAGAGGAAGACATGATACTGTCCTTAGGAATGTGGAGTGGTAGGTAAATGGGATTTCATGTGTATACTGCTGTGTAGTAGGGAGAGCGGGCTGTATCCCGCCACCCGGCTAGCTTAACCCTGAAATAATCACACAGACATTGCATTAATTAAATTACTGCCTGGCCCATTAGCTCTATGCTCTTATTGGCTAACTCACATCTTGATTAACCCATTTCTATTAAATCTGTGTATCACCACTTGACTGTGGCTTACCAGCAAGATTCTCACCTACATCCTTCTCAGGCCGGAGATTCGTGGCATCTGTCTTCCCAGAATTCTGTTCTGTCTACTCTGCCCACCTAAGTGCTTGGCCCTATCAAAAGGCCAAGGCAGTTTCTTTATTCAACCAAAGAAAGCAACACAAATACAGAGGACCTCCTGCACCACTGCTGCCTGCCATTTAGCCCTTCCTCCCTTCCTTCCATTTATTGATTTTGTTTGGTTGCTTTTTAGTTCTTTTTTAAATAGTTTCCCTCCGCCAAGCTGGCCCTTTTTCTTTTGTAACAGTTTCCCTCCTCTAAGCTGACCCTGAACACCCAGAGGCCTTCCTGCTTTGATCTCCTAACTTCCTGGGGTTACATATGTGCACCATACCTGGCTTATTTACATTTTTGGCAGGACCTCACTGTGTTGCTATAACCTCCTTCAGGAGTTGGAATCACAGATTGCACCCACTAGAACCATTGTACCCAGTTCATTTTATATACCTTTTTGTTTGTATATATAGATATTGTGCCTGTATATATGTGCACTGCTTGTGTGTCTGCTGCCTACAGAGGCCAGAAGAGAGCATTACTCTGGAACTAGAATTACAGATGATTGTGAGCTGCCATGTGGATGCTTGGGTCTTCTGGAAGAGCAGCCAATGTACCTAGCAACTAAGGCTTCTTTCTCTGGCCAGACCTTATTGCTATTATTGTTTTTTAGGTTTATTGACTTTATATGCATATGAGTGTTTTGCCTGCATGTATGTATGTGCATCACATAGGTGCACTTCCTAAAAAGGCCAGAAAAGGGTGTGAGCCTCCATGTGGATACTGAGAATGGAATCTGAGATCTCTGAAAGAGCAGCAAGTGCTCTTAACCACTGAACCTTCTCTCCAGCCTCCGTCCCTTATTAGTTTTGAGACAGGGACTTCTGTAGGCCCAGGCAGACCTCAGACTCACTATGTAGTTGCAATGACCTTCAACTTCTTATCATTTTGCCTTCATCTCCCAAGAACTGGAATTATAGGTGTTTGCCACCACCTCCAGCTTCATTTGTTTTCCTAAAAAAGACAAAGTGGGGGTGGGGAGACTAGAAAGATGACTCCATGGTTAAGAGTATTTTCTAGAGTTTGTGTGGTGGCTCTGTGACAGGTTCGGCTTCGCATGCGCCTCCCATCCAGCGCCACCACTATGCCCAAGAAGAAGGTTAGTTCCGCGAGGCTGTCGGCCAAGCCTGCCCCTGCCATGGTAAAATAAATCATCATATAAAAATGTGCAAACAACACCGGGCAGTGGTGGCGCACGCCTTTAATCCCAGCACTCGGGAGGGAGGCAGAGGCAGGTGGATCTCTGAGTTTGAGGCCAGCCTGGTCTACAAGAGCTAGTTCCAGGACAGGCTCCAAAGCTACAGAGAAACCCTGTCTCGAAAAATCAAAAAAAAAAAAAAAAAAAAATGTGCAAACAAAAGGAAGAGGGGAACAAAGGCAAACAAGCTGAAGTGGCCAACCAGCAAACCACAGCTCTGCCTACAGAACACCAGAGTCCAGCCTCTGGAGGAGAAGAGAAAGAACCATCCATCATGTCTGTCCATGTCCCCACCTCCCTTCTTCTACAATCCAGAGGAATTTTTTTTAATATTTATTTATTTATTATGTATACAATATTCTATCTGTCTATATGCCTGCAGGCCAGAAGAGGGCACCAGACCTCATTACAGATGGTTGTGAGCCACCATGTGGTTGCTGGGAATTGAACTCAGGACCTTTGGAAGAACAGGCAATGCTCTTAACCTCTAAGCCATCTCTCCAGCCCCCCAGAGGAATATTTTTATCAACTATTTTGTAAATGCGAGTTTTTTAGTAGCTCTAGAAACATTTTTAAAAGGTGGGGAGAAATGCCGCTTCATCCGATTTTTTTAAGTATAAATGATTTATTTAAGAGATTAAATCACTTGTGGTTTATTTTTTGGTGCAACCAGAAAATAGCAGGATAACTGAATCAGGAGAGGCTGTGACTGTCTTGGGGGTCACCATAACATTCCGTAGAGGGGGCTAGTCTTATATCCTACTGCACAAAGCATACTAAATGGTAATTTGGAGTCTCGGTTGTGCATTTGTCTCTGGAATATTTTCAGTTATATCTGGTCTCGTGTTTCTAGTAGAATTGTTGCCTAAACTACTCCTCGGCCCTTGCCCTGTCAGAACTGTCCTCTCATGGCAGCCCATCTTCCTAACCAGGGTATAATGTTCTGTGAGGGATGAATTTTGAGTGTGCACTGTGCCTGGCATAAAATGGCGAGTCAGTGGGACTGAGGATTGTGAACACTTGACTATGTGAGGTCTTAGGGAAGACTTGCCAAGCGTGAGGATGGATATGATCACAGAGAAACAACACATAGCTCTTGGGTACATGAACACAGTGTATGACTTCAGAGTTTGGGTACATGTTTTAAGAATTGAAAAGACTGTGTACTTTGCTCCTCAACCAATAAAATCTCCATTGTGAAGGAGAAAAAAAAAAAGAGTATTTTCTACTCTACTACAGAGGAACTGGGTTTTGTTCCAGGCATCCATATGGCAGCTCACAGCTGTCTGTAACTACAACTACAGATGATATGATGCCCCCTTCTGGTCTCTGTGGGCACTGCAAACACATAGTACACATATATACAGACATACAAATACTCATACACATAAATTTTTTAAAAAATTGAAAAAAAAAAACAAAGGAAACAAATGGTGGTGCACACCTTTAATTCCAGCACTCGGGGGGCAGAGGCAGATACATCTATGTGGGTTCTAGGACAGCCTGGTCTACAGAGTAAGTTCCAGGACAGCCAAGGCTACCCAGAGAAACCCTGTCTGGGAGGCGGGGGAGAAGTAAGTGTGGTGGCTCATTCCCTTAGTCCCAGCACTTGGGAGGCAGAAGCAATTGGATCTCTGGGTTTGAGGCTGACCTGGACTATATAGCAAGTTCCAAGCCAGCTAGGACTACATAGTGAAGTCCAATCTTCTAAAAAAAAAAAGACAAAGGAGGAGTTAGAGAGTTAGCTCAGTCAGTCAGGAACTCACCATGCAAACACAAAGACCCGAGTTCAGACTTCAACACCCAATGTGTGTTTGAGATTTTTGTTTGTTTGTTGTTTTGCTTTGTATTTTAAAGATTTATTTATTATCTATGGAGTGTTTTGCATGCATATACACCTGCAGGCCAGAAGAGGGCATCAGTTCTCATTACTGGAATTAAAAAAAAAAAAAATCAGGACCTTTGGAAGAGCAGCCAGCTCTTAACCTCTGAGCCATCTCTCCAGCCCCCTAATGTATGTTTGTAATCCCAGGACTGAGATGAAAGGGACAGGCCACCACCCCAGCCTAGTTAGTCTTTGAGCCCCAGGTTCCAGTGATGAGAATCCATGTCTTCAAAAAGGTATATGGCTCTTAAGGAACACCAGAGATTAACTCCTGGTTTGTCAGCGCTTGTGGCAGGTGGCATACGTCATAGTGGATGCTCATGGCCGAGCACTCTGTTTGCCTCGTGGCCAAGCCAGAAAGAAGATATTGGGATCCCAAAATCCTGTGAAGGGTATGCCATCACATAGATAGATGTCTTCCCACTAGACCCTAACCTTAATCGTTGCACCTCCTCCTACTATCACCATAGGCTGAAAACCAAGCCTTTAATGTCCAAACTATATGGATCACATACTTCAGTTTAAAAACCATTCACCAACTCTTGACTCCTTCAGGAAATGACCCACTTCTTATGCATCTTTGTGCAGCTGGCACTAAGCCCTACACCAAGGATGCCCAGGGCTGGAGTATAGCTTTGCAGCAGAGCATTTACAGCACACTGGAGGCCCTCAGTTCTATCTGAGCATAGCAAACTTGAGTGATGGATGGATATGCTCAATGTGGATGCAAATAAACATCTACTGTAATAACATTTGCAACATGTATGTAAAATATCTAACATGATTATGTGGCTAATGACTTTTATAGAATTTATTATAACAATTTTTTTTGGCTTTTTGAGACAGGGTTTCTTTGTGTAGCTTTGGAACTCACTCTGTAGACCAGGTTGGCCTCAAACTCACATAGATCTGCCTGCCTCTGCCTCCTGGGTGCTTCTGGGATTAAAGGCGTGTGCAACCACCTCCCAGTTTATTTATTTATTTATTTATTTTTTTTTGAGCCAGGCTGACTATGAACTCTTCTTCTTCCTCAAGCCTTGGGATAAAGACATTTGGTCACCCAGCATGAGATGAGTTTAAAGCTTGTAATTTGGTACCCATTGTCTCCTGCTTTTTCCAGGAGTAAAGAGAAGGTTGAATTAGAGAGCAGCAGCCCAGCTTCCGGTGAAAAGGGAGAGAAGACGAATCTGGAATATGATAAGGAACTTGAAGCGCTGTGTGAGGAACTGCAGGTCACCTTGGATGGCTTGGTAAGACCTAAAGGTGCAGGTCACCTACATCACTGTCACTCAGGCCTAATGGAACGGTTTGGGGTTTGTTTGACCATGGGGGTGTTCAAGCTGTGAGAGGCCCTTTCTCCTCTTCAGCCTCCTCTTCCACCTACCTAACAAATTCTGAAGCTCTTAAGATGCTGCCCAGTACACTGTTCTGGGCAGTTTCAACCACTTGAAGGGTCCATTGAGTAAGTATTTAGACTTTGGGGCCCAGACTATCTGTGTCGTGGTGACTTCTGTACTGCCGCACAATACTGAAGCAGCCATGGTCACTAGTTATCAGTGTGGATATAGCAGGTCTTATTTCAGGTTGTGTCCTGTATTTCTTGTTCAAATTATTTGCACATTGGCATTGTAAGTTCTGGCTGAAATATTGTCCCCACAGTACAGCTCTAGCTTGGGAATGTTTCTGACATTTCCTTCCTAGCTAGCACTGAAAACTGTTCCAGATTTACTTTGAATATTTCCTGCCTCTGTCCTAGAGTTAGCCTTTTCCCCAAGGGGCCCAGATCCCTTGTATAGGAAAGTCCTGTTGGAAACCTGTTAGCTGCCACCCCCCATAAAAGAAGGAAAGAAGGAAGAGAGAGAGAGAAAGAGCTGGGTGGTGGTGGCCTTCACCTTTAATACCAGCACTCGGGAGGTAGAGGCAAGCAAATCTCTATGAGTTCAAGGCCAGCCTGGTCTACATAGTGAGTTCCAGGACAGCCAGGCCTTTACACGGAGAAACCCTGTATCAAGAAAAGAAGAAGAAACCTGTTGCCCTGGGGCTAAAGGGATGTCTTAAGTATTATGAGCACTTGCTGCTCTTTTTAAGGACCACAGTTCAGTTCCCAGCACCCATATCGGGCAGCTCACAACTGTCTAACTCCAGATTCAGGGAATTCAGTACCCAATTCTGGCTTCCACAGGCACCCACACACATAAATAATAAATCTTATTAGAGAAAGTAAGCTCTACACACAAACTCTCAGGGCTGGAGAGATGACTCACTGGTTAAGAGCACTGGCTGCTCTTCCTGAGTTCCATTCCCAGCAACCACATCTATAATGAGATCTGGTGCCCTCTTCTGGCATCTAAGCATACATGCAAGCAGAACACTATACATAATAAATAAATCTTTTTAAAAGAAAGAAACTTTGTTCTGGCGATCCTGACTCAGGTTTGTTTTTGTTTTTTGAGACAGTTTTCTCTGTGTAGCCCTGACTGTTCTGGAACTCACTCTGTAGACTAGCCTGGCCTTAAACTCACAGAGATCCACCTGCCTTTGTGCCTGAGTACTGGGATTAAAGGTGTGTGCCACCACCGCCTGGTTTGAATTTGTCTTAAACTGTCTTGGAAAAGTATTCTCATTCTGTGTTCAAGCCCAAAAGCTGGGGTTGGAGACTGTGAATGCTGCTTTTCTTGTTTACCTGGCCATTGAAGAGGTTTGGCTTCACATATCTTTTCTTGGGGGGTTTGTGCAGCCTTTGCCCTTAAGATGCACCCCCATTTAAGTGTGTTCTGTGTTACTGTGGGAGACACTCAGATGCTAATGTATAAGTGGGCTGTTCTTACACTGTTAGCTCAACAAAGCACACACAGATATGACTTTGTCCCTGTGGGGGACCAACTCCAGATATGACAGGTCAGGGCCCCCCAGATTCCGAATCCTTCTAAGCTTTTTTAGAATTAGGAGGGATCGGCCATGGGATGCACAGAAAGCTCAGATCCCTTACTGGCCCCGCCTCCTCACCTAACCTTAAGAATCTTCCCATTGGAGACTAGAAATGATTGAACCCGTCTGGAGGTTAAGCCAAGTGAAATATTAAACATAAATTGATTTGAGCAGAAAGTAGAGACCTTTAAATATTAACATTTGCTAAATTTAGTGTATGCCACTCTAGATAAAACCAGGGGATGGGTGGTTGGGAGGATCAAGTACAAGGTATTATGATTTTGATGCTGTATATTGCTTTTATTCCCCCAAGCACATAGCAGTTAACTGAAGGTGTAAGTCACAAAGCAATCCCACACCAGTTTGGAATTATGATTAATAAAAGAGTTATTTATTTAAAGGGAAAAATGTACAGATCACTGTCCTAGACAACAGCCCTCTGCACGTCCAGGATAGGAGTCTAGTAGCTGGAAGAGAGCGAGTAGACCACACCCAAGTGGGCTGGTATCTTAAAGGCTATTGGCTGAGGGAGCGGAAGGAGCTCCCGCAGCAGTTAACTATGCTCGGGGATTAGATATTTGGTTTTAATAAACCTTTGCTACCTGAATCTACATGGAATCCTAGTTAATTCTGCTTATCTTAGTGATCACGCCTATAACTAACCAGGTGCTTCCCTGCCCTTCATTCGTGCCATCCTTTCTTGTCACTGTGGAGATGGTGCTGGTGTTTCCTGACAGAAGACACAGCTGCAGACGGAGGGAGATCTGTGGGTTTCAGATTCTCATTGTGCTCTTCTGTGTGGATAGGAGGCTCACAGAGGCTGCAATGAACTCAGAAATGCACTTGCTAAGAGCCTCTCTGCCTATCTCACTCCATAATGGTGGTCCGCTGGGTCATTGGAGCTAAACACTAGTGCTGCTTAGAGATCTTACTGGGGTGGGAATCACCAAGCTGTCGTCTCTCTGAGTAACAAACCCACAATACCCACCTGCTCACACACCCTGGAAATCTGCCTGTGGCGGTAATGGGGTGGGTTATTAGAATTTTAGCTCCACCAGGACTATGCATCATAGCCTTCAAATATTTTATAGTTACTAAATCTGAGATTAGAAATTCTAAACAATATTCTCATACTCTAAATTAATATCTTTTTCAGACTAAAATACAAATGAAAATGGAAAAGCTGTCTTCAACCACCAAGGGAATTTGTGAACTAGAAAATTACCATTACAGGGAAGAAAGTAACCGGCCCCTTCTGTTTCACACATGGCCCACGACCTTCTTTTGTAAGTAGTTCTCCTGACGGTGTCTTTGTTGTTTTGTTTGTTTGGTTGGTTTTTGGAGACAGTTTCTCTGTGTAGCCTTGGCTGTCCTGGAACTCACAGAGTTTTTCTGCCTCTGCCTCCCGAGTGCTGGAATTAAAGGTGTGCACCACCACCACCACCCAGCTCTGGAGGTGATTTTAAGACGAACAACAGCATTGGTTAGCTCTAGTCCTTAGGAATGGAAACGGGGCATCCGTCTGTCTGTCTGTCTGCCTGTCTTTTAAAATATAAATAAATGAGCCAGCCAGTGGTGTCGCACACCTTTAATCCCAAAATTTGGGAGGCATAGGTAGGAAGAAGATCTCTGTGAGTTTGAGGCCATCCTGGTCTACAAAATGAGTTCCAGGACAGCCAGAGCTATTATACAGAGAAACCCTGTCTCAAACAGAAAAAAATATAGATGCAGATATATAGATATATAATAAATGTAAAAGTTACTACAGAAGTAGTAATGCACATTCCTATAATGCCAGTAATGGAGACGCAAAAGTGGGAAAACTGTCAGTTCAAGGGCAAAATGAAGAAATAAATCAGCCATCAGCTGAGGATGCGCCTCATAGGAAGAGACCATTGAGAAAGAGGAAATTGAGCATGATGGCTGTCCTAGTTAGGATTTCTACTGCTGTGATGAAGCACCATGACCAAAAGTGGCTTACATTTCCACATCCCTGTTCATCATCAAAGGACATGAGGACAGGAATTCAACAGGGCAGAAACCTGGAGGCAGGAACTAGCACAGACGCCATAGAGGAGTGCTGCCTAATGGCTTCCTGTCCATGGCTTGTTCAGCCTGCCATTTTAAAGAACCCATATCACCACCCAGGGATGACACCATCCACAGTGGGCTGGGCCCTCCCCCATCAATCACTAAGAAAATACCCCACTGGTCAACTTAATGGAGGTATTTTCTCAATTGAGGCTCCCTCTTCTCCAGTGACTGTCTTGTGTCAAGTTGACATAAAACTAACCAGCTCATGGGTGCAAGCTGGTGGTTCTAGTACTTGGGAAGAGGATCACAGCAATTTTAAGGGCAGTTTGGGCTCAAATTCAGGGCTCAGGGAGCAGGTAAGATGGCTCAGCAGGTAAAGGCCCTTGCCTCTGGGTCTGATGACCTGATTTTCCCCCATTGGCCCCACATGCTAGTAGAACAAACAAATGCCTGAAAACTGCTCTCTGACCTCTACACACACTGCAGCTTGTATACATATACACAAAACGCAATATTATTTAAGGTTAGGCTAGTTGATGTTGGCTTATTTTTTTAAAGATTTATTTGTAATTATTTGTATCTGTGTGTAGATATATGCATATACATGAATGTGGGTGCCCTTGGAAACCAAAGGACTTGTGTCCTCCTGGTGCTGGAATTATATGTATTTGTGAGCTGCCTGGTGTGGGTGCTGAGAATTGAACCCAACTCCTCTAGAAGAGCATCCAGTGCTCTTTGACTACTAGCACATTTCTCTAGTTCCTCACTTACTTTTTAAAACAGCCTTAATGTGTATCTTAGGCTGAACTGGTGCTCGCTTTGTAGCCCAAGCATGCCTCCAACTTGTAGCAGTCCCCCTGCTTCAGTCCTTTAAGAGCTGTTATTGCTGAGTCTTGACGAGGTGACTCTTTATAGCTATGGCAAGTTACTTGAGTGTTGTGGAATATTTGTTTAACTATGTAAAGATGTGTTGCATTTGTTTAATTATGAAAAACTGGGTTGCTGTTTTATCTTGCCTACTTAAGGCACCTGATTGGTCTAATAAAAAGCCGAATGACCAATAGCAAGTAAGGCGGTATAGGTGGAACTTCCGGGCAGGGAGAATAAATAGGAAGAATTTAGGCTTGAGGAAGAAAGAAAAGGAAATGCCAGGGACATGCCAGTGGCCAGCCAGCTAGACAGACAGGGAAGCAGCAGGAAAGTAGGACATACAGAACGGAAGAGAGGAAAATGTAGATGAATAGAAGCTGGTTACATTAAGTTAAGAGAGCTAGTGGGACAAGCCTGAGCTAAAGCCAAACATTCACAATTAACAATAAGTCTCTGTGTCTTTATTTGGGAGCTGGATGGTGGCCCAAAGAAAACTCCAATTACACTTGAGGGTTGTGTGGCCTTGTGTTTCGTACCAATTAACTACCCTCAACTGGCTTGGTCCTTCTTTATCCCAGTGCTGTTCTGATTTGTTTTGAGGAGAGTTTTATGTGCTGGCTGAGGATGATCTTGTATTTCTCATCCTGCCTTCTGCCTCCAGTCTGTGCTCAACTTCCATATGCTGGGATTGCAAGTATTCACCGCTACGCCCAGTGTAGGGGGTGTCAGGGATTGAACCTAGGGCTTCACGCATGTTGGTGCTCTACCAGATGAGTCATGTGGCCAGCTTTGACCCTGGCTTTTAACCAGAAGCCTGTGCAAGCACGGCTTGAGTCTAGGAGAGTGCATTCTCATGCAGCACGGTACCTGGTCTGTTGCAGATGAGATCTCCTACAGGCTCTCCAGTGCATACAAGAAGGAGCTCCTCCTGAAACATACCATTGGTGCTGAGCTGGCCCACACTGCAGACCGCAACCTCATCCTGACCTACCTGTCCATGTGGCTCTACCAGCCGTACATAGAGAGCGACAGCAAGCTGCAGCTGGAGAGCATGCTCCTGGAAACAGGGCACCGGGCCCTGTAACTCACCTGTCACCTTACCTGTGACCTCAGCCTCAGGGCTCTCAGACCACTGGCTGGACAGTCACTAGGGTGGCAACTGTTGGGCCCGAGGGCCAGCCACTGCAGCCTCTCCAGACACAAAAGCACTTATGCAGCCATCCTCCCCTTCTGCCCTGTCCCAGATCATCATGTGACCACCATGGAGTGAAATAAATAAGAAGAGTGGCTGAGGGCCTCATTTTGTAAACTGAGTATACTTTACATATTACACCTCTACAGGAAACCCGAGTTTCCTATTTTTACTTTGTGCCTATTCCACCTGTTTTGTTTGTTTGGTTTTTGTGGTACTGGATATCAAACCCAGATTTCACACAAGCTGAATTGTTTAACCATTGGGCCATATCACCAACCCTGGACTTAAAATTTGAAGAGAATGTTTTAGTTCTATAATTATAAGTAAAATCACATAAATATTTAAGGTTTAAAAATCTTGTCACTTTTTAAGATTTTATTTTTGCTGTGTCTGTGCCACATGTACAGATGACCAGGGCAGCCACAAACAGGCATGGGATCCTTGGAGCCACACGCTCCACCTTGTTGTTAGGAATCAAACTCGAGTCCTCTAGCTGAAGTGATATATATTAAATATATTCTATAATATATATTAATAAATATATTTTAAATATATATTTTTTAATCCTGTAGAGTTAACTGAGTCTTTCATAGAAGTGAAAACCACTTACCAAAAATTGTTGCTGTTTGCATGAAATGATGGGCCAGGCCAATAAAAATTCCAGTGATCATGACTGTTTCCATCTGGGGCCTGGGTACTGTGTATCTGCTTAGCTTGAGATACCCACACAAGCCAGAGGAGGGTGTTGGAGCCTTTGGAGCTGGATCTTTTAAGCAGTTGTGAGCTGTCCGGCTTGAACAAATGCTGGGAATCAAACTCAGCCCTTTCCAAGAGTAGTATGTCCTCTTAGACGTTTTTTAAGGTATCCTGGGATAGAGAACTCATAATGACTTCAGAATCACTATACTCCTGCCTCCGCTCCCCAAATGCTGGGATTACAGACACACCATGCCCGGCTCTTGTGTATTCTTGATAATTTGTTCCCCAGACACCCATTAACAAGTTGTTCGAAAGAGCTAATGGAAAGATCAATACTGCCAAGGACAGGCAGAAACAAAGGAACTAAAGATAAACAAAATATTGATTCTGCAGAGTATTGTATCGGAACAGAACAAGGATGTCATCAGAGGTCAGTATAGCACGTCAAGGTGAACACAGTAGTGAGTCACACAATCTCAAATCCTGCCCAATTAACAGAGAAGGAAATTAAAAGCTTGGAATTTACCTGAACTGGATTGAGAGGGATTGAGGATGAATTCATGGTGAATACCTTGAGAAAAAGTGGCTGGTGCTGTCTTTTTAAAATTGCTATTATAAAGCATTTCCAGGAAAATCAGAAAGTATTGAAGATAATATAATGAATGTCCACATACTTCAAATGCAGATTAATAATTTAGACAGTGGAGAAGCTCTGGGCTTTTAAGAAGTGGCCCAGTCCACAGGACACAGCTCTGCCTAAGCCACTTGGATGCCCCCAATTCCTGCTAGGAAACCTGCCTGTTTATCCCTACGATATGCCCTGCGATCTATTGAGAGAACAGGAAGTGCCTGGGGATCTTGCAAGGGCTGCAGGAACAGCAGTCATGCTTACGCATAGGACCTGCATGAGGAACAGCCATGATCCCCAGCTCTGTCCTGCAGCATTACCTCGGTGTCCTGGTCTCTCCTAAGTGCCAGGGAAGAGAAGAGGACATCTGAGAACCAATGCTCCTGTCTAATGTGGACAAATGACCTTCCCTTTGGCCCACAGTATAGCCATGGACACCCTTACAAAGAAATCCTGAGACTTCTTTACAGCTGGGACATCAAAATGCCTGGACTTTCAATGAGCTTTAGGTTTCTGTAGAAGCCAGTAAATCATACTATCACAAAAGCCTTTTCCTCATCAAGAAAATCCAAGTAGACAGAGCTTGGCATCCCAACCCTGCAGAATTAGGAGGATCCTAAGTTCAAGACCAACCTGACTTATATAGCGAGACCCAGTCTTAAGGGTAAAAAAAAAGAAGTAGTGAACATAAAACCTAAGTGGTGGGTTGGTGGGATGGTTAAGTAGTTAAAGGTACTTGGTTTGCAAGTCTGGCGACCTGAGTTCCAGCCCTGGAATCCATATAAAGGATGGACTGGAAGGAAGCTGGGCATGGTGGTGCATGCCTTTGATCCCATCAGTCAAAAGGAAGGCAGTGGATCAGAAGACCAGAATTTGAAGCCAGTCTGGTCTAGGTAGTGTGTTGGGGAATATTATTATCACGTGTGTTACCTTTGTAACGCTACATCTAATTAACTGTGAAGCTGTGATTCTTTGCCTATCTGAAACACCTGCTTGTCTAATGAAGAGCGGAATAGCCAATAGCAAGCAGGAACAAGGATAGGTGGAACTGGCAGGCAGAGTATAAATAGGAGAAATCTGGGAAGACTGAGAGAAGAGAGGAGGACACCAGGGCCAGTCACCCAGCTACACAGCAAGCCACAGAGAATGAAGTAAAGAATGGAATACAGAAATAGGGAAAGATAATAGTACAGAGGCAAAAGATAGCTGGGATAATTTAAGAAACAAGCCAAGCTAAGGCCAGGCATTCATAACTAAGAATAAGCCTCTGTGTGAGATTTATCTGGGAGCTGGGTGGTGCCCCCCCAAAAAAAAGAAAAAATGTCACACAATGTTATGGTCCCCAGTGTGGGGCCATATTTCCATGTAGGGCCTGAGAATAATTTTGTTTTTGTTTTTCGAGACAGGGTTTCTCTGTGGCTTTGGAGCCTGTCCTGGAACTAGCTCTGTAGACCAGGCTGGTCTCGAACTCACAGAGATCCGCCTGCCTCTGCCTCCCGAGTGCTGGGATTAAAGGCATGAGCCACCATCGCCCGGCCCTGAGAAAATTTAGAAGAAAAAAAAAAGGACATGGCTCCTTTAAGACGTTCAGCAGGCAGGGCTAAATAGAAACTAGAAATGACAAGCTAAATAAAAACTACTTGTAGCAATGCAAATACTGGTTTCCACAGCTGGGAAGGTTTGATGCAGTTCTCAGTCAGGAATCCCCCACCAGCTTTAGGGTTGGCTTTCATGGTCCAACCTGAGAGTAGTCAGAGCCAGCTGCTAGAGCACGCTCAGAAAGGCTAAAAGATGCAGTAAGAGGTCAAGACAGAAAAAAACTCTAAACAGGTTCCAGTGTGCTTTACAATGTGTGTAGGCTTAAGAAAGAAAAAAGTTGGGTATAGGCAGTCCTAGAAAGAAATAAGTAGATTAAAAATAATAAAGTCAGCCAGGCTATAGTGACATAGGCCTTTAATCCCAGCACTCAGGAGGCAGAGGCAGGTGGATCTCTGAGTTCGAGGCCAGCCTGGTCTACAAGAGCTAGTTCCAGGACAGGCACCAAAACTACAGAGAAACCCTGTCTTAATAAATAAATAAATAAATAAATAAATAAATAAATAAATAAATAAATAAAGTT